AACCCACAATAACAATAGGTATTAACATCCGAAACATATACGTCATGACACATGGTTTGAAACATGTACATGCAATGTAAATTTTATATTTCCCTATACGTGTATGCGTAATCGTAAGTTGACAATGCGCGCAAACAACAGGTCTCCGAAAAAGATACAATGTTGTACACTGCTTCTGAAATCAAGGACGACACCGACCTCAAACGTTTTATTGACCAATCGACGAGCCAGATGCAATGAGTGACACGCTGAAACAACCGTCCGGTTTGTGGGCGTGTTCTTTTTGAACACAGCTTGTTGACGCCGTATCGATTTTGATTGTATAATACATCGAACAATTGGTAGTTCACACATTCTACTTACAGATCGACTGCTGAAGTCTGATCCACCGTTTTGTTGTAAGTTCTTATTTAGTGCCTCGTCAGTTCCTAGCGGCTGTTTTCCTATCGAAGTTGAATCCTGATTCAGTCGGTATGTATTGCTACTATGGTTAAGTCCGGAGTGTGACGCTGCAAAATTACATCTTGGTATTTTTGACCCTGTGCTGTGTGGGAAAATTTGTCTCCGTGAAGTTATAGTATTGAATACCTTTGTACCTGTGTATTAATATTGTGGTATTTGTGTACCTGTGTAATGATACTCTGGTATTTTTGTACCGGTGTATTGATACTTTGATATTTGTGTACCTGTGTATTAATACTGTGGTATTTGTGTACCTGTGTATTGATACTATGGTATGTTTATACCTGTGTATTGATACTGTGGTATTTTTGTACCTGTGTATTGATACTGTGGTATGTTTGAACCTGTGTATTGATACTGTGGTGTTCGTGTACCTGTGAATTGATACTGTGGTATTTTTGAACCCGTGTATTGATACCGTGGGATGTTTGTCCCTGTGTATTGATACTGTGGTATTTTTGTACCTGTGTATTGATACTGTGGTATTTTTGAACCTTTGTATTGATACTGTGGTGTTTGTGTACTTGTGTATTGATACTGTGGTATGTTTATACCTATGTATTGATACCTTGGGACGTTTGTCCCTGTGTATTGATACTGTGGTATTTTTGAACCTGTGTATTGATACTGTGGTATTTTTGAACCCGTGTATTGATACCTTGGGACGTTTGTCCCTGTGTATTGATACTGTGGTATTTTTGAACCTTTGTATTGATACTGTGGTGTTTGTGTACTTGTGTATTGATACTGTGGCATGTTTATACCTATGTATTGATACCTTGGGACGTTTGTCCCTGTGTATTGATACCGTGGGACGTTTGTCCCTGTGTATTGATACTGTTTTTGTTTCGTTAGCACCATAGGGAAAAAAGATATATATATATCGCATGAAAAAGTTAGCTTGATAATATAACAGAAATGCTCAACATGCACTCGCCAAGTATTTGAAAATAAAACCAGAATATCAAAACAATCAAACACTGCAAATTGATACATCATTTGAATATCATTGTAATAAATCAAGAAAAGCGATCAACATTCAATTGACATGTTTGACATGAATAGTAGATCTGAATAGGCATTAAAATTCAACTGTCAGAGGTATGGTGAATCCATGAATCTGAATACAATTCAAACAATATTTAATCAATAAATTCAAGGCACATGATTATGAGTTCTAGTTAAATCAATAATTTGGAATAAAATTCAACTAGTATACAAATAGTCATACTAGAAATGTCATTAACCTTTCTTTAACAGTGTCAAACGCTGTCTGTTGAGCCTCAACCCATGTCCACTCAACCTTCTGTGCGCTTTTTGACTTTTTAGACTTAGCAACACTAGCATTTTTAGACTTTTCAGTCTGTCTTACTAGACCTACTTGCTTTCTTTGTGTAGTCATGACCTTGTAGAAGAAAGTTAAGTGGTTTGACTATTTTTGCATAGTCTTTTACAAACCGCCGATAGTATCCGTTAAATCACAAAAACTGACGCAGCTCTTCACCTAATGCTGGCCAAGTTTTGACAGCAGACACTTTGTCGGGGTCGGTAGCTATACCTTCTTCTGACACGACATGTCCGAGATACGTAACTTTGGATTTGAGGAACTCGCATTTTGATGGTTTGAGTTTCAAGCCGTGTTGGACGAGTTTGGCGGGTACTGATTCTAGTCTGTCCAGGTGTTCGTCAAAGGTACGGGAAAATATGAGAATTTCATCTAAAATGATGAGGCGTTCCCTCAAATGCATATCCCCCATGCACTTTTCCATCAAGCGTTGGAAAGTAGCTGGAGCACAAGTAAGGCCAAAACCCATTCTATTGGGTCCCAGAGTCCCAGGTTACCAACCGAGAATGCAGTTTTCTCCTTATCTGACTCGTCAACCTCTACTTTCCAAAACCTGATCGCAGTCTAACTTTGAAAAATAATGGGAACCATTTATGGTATCAACCGTATCATCAAAGCGAGGGAGCATATATGTATCTTTTCTGGTACGTAAATTAAGCACCCGATAGTCGATGCAGAATATAAGGCTTCCATCTTTGTTTCGTACAAGTTCAATATTTAAAGAGAAAGGACTGTTAGACTATCTCATCACACCAGCTTGGAACATTTCCTTGACATGTTGACGAACCTCCTCATACATGCCAGGTAGTTTCTTGCGATATAGCTGTTTGAAGGGCCGTTCGTCAAGAAGGTCAATCTTATGTTTGACAAGATCAGTTTTAACCAAATCAAACTGATTTTTGGAAAATGCGTGTTTCCAATTTCCTAAGACTTGTCGGACACGTAACAGTTGCTCCTCGGTGATATTGGTTTGATCTATATGTACACCAAGTTCCTCAGGTAAAGATAACTTTTCCTCTCGTACTGTAGGAAGCTCAGAAGCTAGATTATCTACTACCTTAACTTGGTTGACTGTACAAAATATTGACCTTGATTTAAGAATAATAGGTTTAGCTGAGGTGTTACACAGCTTAACTGGTACTTTAACTGTAGTTAAATTTTGTTTCACTTTAACCACACGAGGACAAACTGTATACTGGAGAACAGAATTTCCAAATTTCTCCGTGACTTGATCAGTGATATCGGGTTCTAACCCGCGGGCTATACCATTCAGTACAGCAGTGGCATAGGGAGCAATGGTGGTGGGTTTTTTATTCCTAACATTCTCACTGTGTATGAGCAGGAGACACTGTCAACCGCAGCCTTCCACTCCTGAGGTATATTTGAATTCTCATGAGTTTTGTCTTTCACCAATCGAATAACATTGGTGCCCAATATAGCAAGGCTAGTAATATTGTACTCAGTATCGGGCACAACCAGCATGAGAATATCAAAGACTTTTGACATGAAAGGAATCTTGACTTCACACTCACTATAACCCAAGTAGTTCAGAGTAGATCCATTGGCCACTGTAATTTTAAATCCAAGAGTGTCTAAGTCCTGAAGGGTTGGTCTATTAGGTAGACTTTCATAAAATGCCTTTGAAAGGGTCGAAATCATAGAACCACTGTCTATTAATGCCTTGACCTTTTGACCTGCAACCAAAACTTCACTTTCATTCGAGACCCCTAGTAGTCTATGTAGGATATCATTAACATGACTTTGGCCTTTTGACAGATGTTCAGCCCCCGCTCGGCCACTAGCAGAGACTGGCCTTAGTTTGGGTGATCTTTTTCATCCTTCTTACTCTTTTTATTATTCCAGTTACGAGACTTATTAAATCCCTTGTGTCCTTGACCTGACTTCTGACCCGAAATTTGTTTTTCGCTGGAAGAATTCGAACCAAGTTTGTTTAAGATCTTGTCTAACTTATTCTCTATCTGAGAACTAAGTTTTTCCTTAAGATCATTAAGTTTCTTATCAAACTTTTTCTCTAAATTGTCTGAAGAAATAACCTGCTGGTCAGATTCAACAATGACTACATGCTGGTGTCCATTTTTACTTTGTTTAGGCCCTGTTGTAGTGTTGGTAGAAGAGATGTGTAGCTCTCTCTCTACTATCCGGATTTCCCTTAGCAGCTCATCAAAGCTGGTTATGGTGTCATACATTGACGAGTTTGACTTTTAAGTTTGTCAGAACTCAGGGAAGTCCAAAACTTGTGTCGCATTAAATCCTTTTAGCTGACTTATGCAGGGAACCATTCTCGACGACTGTTTCCAGTAAGGATTCAAGTCTACAGCCAAATGTAGTGCCTGATTCATTGTGTTTCTGCGCCGAGATAAAAAAAAAATCTCCAGCATTAACATGCCATGCGTCGTGAAAGTCAGCTTAGAAGATTAAATTGCTGCACGTGCCTCATTACTTATGTACAGTAGATGGTACCTACTCATGAATAGTTAATTTTGTACAGATTGTTAAAAGTACTTGGGGAGAATTTCATAGATAGTCTGGGAGTTTGGAGTTTGGAGTCTAGAGTGTAGAGTCGGTATTCGAGGTTCGAGAATGTGAGCCTCTGGAGAGAGCGGCCAGGAAAGGTGGGGCCTGTGATGGCCCGGGCACAGCACTTGGTGTGCTTTAGAACTATGTGTTTGATGTTGTAACTCTACATAATCTGTGTGCAGGTAGATTTGGTGTCGTGTTCAAGAACTGTTGTTAAAAAGGGCCTACACTTGGACTCTGACTGTCGCGACCACAACGTGAAGTGAATAAAATACTACAGCCATTCCGGTATGATCGTATCCAAACTCCGAACGGTAGATCTTTGCAACATTTCTTTGAAACTCGGGATGCTACCATGTTTGTGTACGTAACAGAAGCCGTTTCCCCTCAGGTACAGCAGTTGACCTGACCCAATGTGTATACATTATGTAGCTTGGACCAAATGCACCATGTAATTTAGGGTTTAGGCTATATTTTACTTTTTTTCTGTGATCATTGACACAGTCAGTCGTGCCGACTTTATGGTTAAAGAGACCACTCATAACGATTTGTAAACCTGCGATTTATTTCCGTCAAAATATCATTTTGATAGTTTTCATATGAACAGTTACATATAGATAAATATATGCATTCCTGATTCTCTTTTGTTTTCCAGAAGATGAGTGCCAGAGCCATATTCTGTCTACAGCTGCTTTTTGTGTTATGTACGATGTTCTTTAGCAGGAGTGAAGTTGAATCACCTGTGCTAACCTCGAGTGTCAAGGTAATGTATACAAACAACTTCTAATCTGTCGAATTTTTATTCTCAATATTCATACACTATATCATTTATGGCAGTAAGTACAAAACAAACAAGAAACGAGAATACTGAAGTGTCTACAAAATAGTACTTCAAATTCAAAGCCAACTAGCTAAAAATATAAACAAAGGAAAGAATTACATGGAGGCCAGGAAAAGGGACAATGAATATAGGAATAGGTTAAGCGTTTTCGACTTCCTCTGTGGTCCCTGCAGGTAGGGCGCAATAATTGTACCTGCTGCCCCATTGCATGATCGTAAGAGGCGACTAAATTTGGGATCACTTTTGGCCTTTAGTTGAGCATTCGCCCCTGTTAGGAAGGGTTCTGTCCCCCGGTCGAGACATACCAGAGTCTGTTAAAATGGTAGTTTCTACTCCTGCTTAACGCTCAGCAATTTAGGAGTGGGACGACTGGTTCGCCCGTTGTCAGTATAATATGACCGGGTGGGGTGTCCTGCTAGGTGTCTTCGGCAGTATATTTCAGTGAGGTAGCACTATAAAGTCGGCATCAGTTCTGCGCTATCACAGGGAGACACACACGAACATATCGCAGCCTCCCAAAACTCACACACGCATACACTACACGCAGGCATCTTGCACACAAGGGAGGCCGTCCTTAAATGACCATAGCTGTTGATAGGACGTTAAACAATACTAAACCAAACCAAACCACTTTCTCTATGACACTCGCCATGTAAATCTAAGTCAAATTCAAGTAATACCACGTTCCCGTAGTGAAAACGCGGCAGTGACAACAAAACAACGCGGCACTTTATGAGAATAACCAAATCGTAGGCCTTCTTGTAACACAGCGAAATAGCATATATCAAAATGAGATAATGATGTCGAGCATGAAATTTGTCCATAGACTTCGGCAACGTGTATCTTTAGAAACGTTTAGGGATGTTACAAACAAGCAAGGGAAAGCGCCAAATAGGAAAATCGCAGTCGTCCCGATCATCGTTCAACTTATTAGTAAGCTGTCTCTGTTGGTTATGAAATAAAAAGAGCTGTAGGAGAACAGCATAGCTCGTCTATTAAAATCATTTTTGTAAAAAGTGCTTATAGTAATTTGGCCATTACATGATGTCCCATCTTAGATAATAGATCAGGAAACTAGAACTAAATTGTCGATGGCAGACTCCCGCTATCCCCCCATTGTGTATCGCGAAATGATCCGTTTTGTTACATTTAGTTCGCATCTTGTGCTCATGTATAACGGACTGGTACTTTTTGTAAAGACATTCAGTTCTTATCTCGTCCTTGTGTTTTACAAACTGAAACTTTTTGTAACGACATTCAGTTCTTATCTCGTCCTTGTATATTACAAACTGAAAGTTACTGTAACGACATTCAGTTCCTATATCGTCCTTGTGTATTACAAACTGAAGCTTTTTGTAACGACATTCAGTTCCTATATCGTCCTTGTGTTTTACAAACTGAAACTTTTTGTAACGACATTCAGTTCCCATCTCGTCCTTGTGTATTACAAACTGAAACCTTTTGTAACGACATTCAGTTCCTATCTCGTCCTTGTGTTTTACAAACTGAAGCTTTTTGTAAGACATTCAGTTCCCATCTCGTCCATGTGTATTACAAACTGAAACTTTTTTGTAACGACATCCAGTTCTTATCTCGTCCTTGTATATTACAAACTGAAACTTTTAGTAACGACATTCAGTTCTTATCTCGTCCTTGTGTTTTACAAACCATTTAGTTCTTATCTCGTCCTTGTGTATTACAAACTGAAACTTTTTGTAACGACATTCAGTTCTTATCTCGTCCTTGTGTATAACAAACTGAAACTTTTAATACCGACATTCAGTTCTTATCTCGTCCTTGTGTATTACAAACTGAAAGTTACTGTAACGACATTCAGTTCCTATTGGCCATGTTTTTTGATGGTGTGGTATTTTATTTTCAACCCCGTTATTACGGATGTTTTTCTTGAGTATTTAATACTTTATTTAGCGACTTTTAGTTCAGATATCGTCCTTGCGTATTGACAATGTAGTATTGTTTTTAACGACATTAAATGTGTGTTGGCCGCCTGTTTGGATCTTATCTTGTATCTTAGCAATCAGAATGTTACTTAGTCTTTGATTTTATTTACAGAAAAATGGTTTGGACAATTTGGGGAGTTTACGATCAAAACATGTGACAAAATTGGAGGAAAGACAACGCAACGCTGGAGTGAAACACATTTTGTATAACATGCTACATCTAACAGATGTTGGAAAAAGGCATTGATCAATCTCTTTATATCTATTTCTTATTACGGGAGAAGTCAATTGATAAGTTGGAAAAACTTACCGACTAATCCCTTTGTCAATATGTTGTCAATAAAATATGTTTAAACTATTCCTTGTTTGTGTTCCACAAGTTTAACGTTAGTGTGAACAGGTATTTTATCAGATTTATTAAAACAAAATTCAAAACAAATTTAATTTTCTTGAACGATCTATCATGATATTCGGAGCAAACTCTGATACCAAATCAACATCGAAGGTTGAAAAATCAGATGTTGCTGTCAAGAAAGGGAAAGTTCACGATCTGAATTCGTCACACTTACGGTTCAGCCTGGTATCAAGTCATCCCTGTTGGTTATGTCGTAAGTGTAAGTGAAGATCGTGGTAAGCGGCTGGCGAAGAAGACTTCAGAATACATATTTGTTTTAATAATGAAATGGTCGGAGTGGTCCGTAAATTTCTAGTCGGCTTAAGGCAGCATATCGTAGATAAATTTGAAAGTGAAATTAGAGCGTGCCAAAGTGTACTTGTGCGATCTGAAGTTCAAGCCTTTCCTAACCTAGACACCGGATGAAAGCGAAAACATCTTGACACAAAGTATCCAAAATTTACGACAAAAAAATGGAATTAGGAAATGACAAGTTCAAGTAATGCGGTTAATAAAATGAAGTGAATCGAAAGTTGTACGCCGGGCTCGAGACCGAAGGGTTGCGGGTTCGTGTCACGTCACGGCACTGTGTTGTATCATTGAGCAAGATACTTTACTCCGCTTGATCCAGTCTACCCAGCTGTATATGAGTACGTGGTTGGGCAGTGCATGAGTTGCAGAATGCTAGCTGTGAGCGCCGAAAAGGCAGCACCAACTGTATGCTCCCTAGGGAGTTGAGAAAGATATTGGCTGGTTGCAAAGGCCCTATAACCACGGATAATAATTTGTGAACCGCTTTGAGACGACCTACAGGTTGTGATTAAGAGGTATATTATAAACACTGCTTTGTCAAGCATGGCAATGTTAATCACTATAAACCCCGTTCGAAGAGAATAGCAGTAGAATGGCTAGAGTAAAGAGAGTTAAATAATTCAATAAGAAGACTGTGCTATAAGTTTTATTTCATTGCTTACATAGACTACGAAAAGAGAAAATGAATCAAGTAGTGATGCCATATATACAATAAGAAACATCTATAAATTATTTATAAAAAAAAATTTTATTTGATAATTGTACCAAAACAATGACCATACACATTAGAATAAAAACCTATTTAGGAATTAAGCATGTCGGTGTCCAATAGGTCAATGTATTGTTGCCCTCGTAACACCAACTGAAAAATTAAATTCTGCATATTAATGCGTGAATATTATATTAACATTTAGCCGGGCAGATAGCCGCACTCTTTCATATCATTCCATTTCTTGATGATCAGTGTCATACTATTTCCCAGTCTTTAATTAATGAGAAGTACATGGATGGTTTGGATTACATTAAATATCGGATTTTTAATACCATTACTCGACATTGAACGGTGACGTTTTTACATAGAATTCTATGTTAAGTCACCATTTTAAAAATATTTTTGCTGACTTCGTTTTTCGTCCTTCTCCATGTTTTATATAATAATATTGATGAAATACAATCTACATCACATTTCATAACAATCGTTGAGTCACCACAAAATTATTAAAATTAATTTACAAATAAGAAATTACATTTTCATGTCAAAAATGCGTAAATGAAATATGTTTCTTTTACAACCATTATTAGAAACGGCTCTAACGTCCATTCAGTTGTTGTTGTTGACATCAGGGCTTATTACGACATCAGCAAGTATAATAATCAGTATTGGTTGGGGAGCGATGGAGAGAGTGTTTGATTAAACACTCGTTCTAGGATAAAAAAAAATTGAAAAATGTGTTTGAACTTAAGTGACAAAAAGCTGGACATAATGGCAGAAAACCCCACTAATATCAAGGGAATTGTTATGTAGGGAAATCTAGAAGGCGGTCAAAAGGCTAAAGTTTCTCATTTGGATATTAGTTATAAGTGCAAAAGAGCAAAATGTTAAAGATTACTACATAATGACAAATATGAAGTGTGTGCATTCGAGTACAAAAACAAAAAACAAAAAAGTGAAAAAAAATGTTTGCACTTGACATCGAGGTTCTAATCAGTGGCATAAACCTTTAGGTACAAAAAAAAAACACTTTTTTTACACGGAAGTGAAACAAGTCGTTTGTGTATTTAACTACCAAAATAATCCTTTTTTCCACTAAAGTGCAAAATCTTGACATAATGGCAAACACTTTTTGTCAGCATGTAGGCCTAGACTTTTACATTTTGTTTTAAGACTAGAATACATAGATTTGTACAGCGCATACCATTACGCAAATTAAACTCTTGAAAAAAAGGCAAATACTTATATGAATTGATGGGAAAATCTTAGTCGAGATATGAGTAGTATTTCCTTCCGGAAAGTTCAAGCGATCACGGCTTTCAATGGGTAAAAAATAGTGTTCTTAAACTGAACGTATTTAACATTTTAGCCACGTGGGCTTCAACACGAAAAGAAATCCTTCGGATTGGCTCTACTACCTAGCCCAGGTCTTTCCTATTTTTCTCAAGGTACAAGACACAAGATACAAGATACAAGACACAAAATACAAGACACAAGATACAAGATATAAGATACAAGACACAAAATACAAGACACAAGATACAAGATACAAGACACAAGATACAAGATACAAGATACAAGACACAAAATACAAGATACAAGACACAAGATACAAGATACAAGACACAAAATACAAGATACAAGATTCAAGACACAAAATACAAGACACAAGATACAAGATACAAGATATAAGACACAAAATACAAGACACAAGATACAAGACACAAGATACAAGATACAAGACACAAAATACAAGATACAAGACACAAGATACAAGATACAAGATACAAGACACAAAATACAAGACACAAGATACAAGATACAAGATACAAGACACAAAATACAAGACACAAGATACAAGATACAAGACACAAGATACAAGATACAAGACACAAAATACAAGATACAAGATACAAGACACAAAATACAAGATACAAGATTAAAGACACAAAATACAAGACACAAGATACAAGATACAAGACACAAAATACAAGATACAAGATTCTAGACACAAAATACAAGATACAAGATACAAGAATATTTATGTCAGCTTGGATAATTAATGTTCAGAGACTGAAGCTTGTTTTGTTGCACTATTTAACGTCACAAAAAAACCAACTAAGATTAAAATGTGGTTAAAGGTCATTTTATTAATGACAAATAGAAATTGTGACATTTTAAGTTCACAATTTTTGAAGACGAGATGAATAATAAACCAATATGAAGTACAATGACTTCTATTAGTAATGTTGCAACAAAGATGGGATACAGAAATTGACCAAATCGTTTTAGTACATGTAGGTAATACATAATACAACACAATATATATGTAGACATGTTAACAGTGATATAGCTAAAGCTGTTGCATTCGGAAATAAATTGAATTGAATTGTAAAGGCTCAAAGCTAGACAACGTAATTATAAGTATTGGTTATATCATAGGAACCGAGCAATATGTTAGTTATTGTACGAGAGGGGCGGAGCTACTTCTCGAGCGCGTAGCGCGAGAGATGTAAGCTCCGCCCCTCGAGTACGATAACTGACATATTGCGAGGCCTATGATGTAACCGACTTGTCGCATAAAGTTCCACGTAAAAAATTTAAGAGAACATTTGAACATTTGATAATGTTCAGAACTGGTCACAGGAGCACAGCAGTTCAAGCTTCAAGAGACTGTGTGCTGCACCGCTGTTAGAAGTGAGCAAATTATTGGAAACTCCGAAGGAGAAAATGGCAAAAATTGAGGGCGCTACATGTAAAAATGGTAATTCAGATACTAAGCCTACTAATGTGAATATTAACATGCCTACAGAAAAGGACCATGTTCCATTTGCTGTATTTCTAATATGTCCAGAAATGTGTTTCACAATTGCCACGTGTCTTTTAATTACGAGACCGACTGGTACCAGTTTATGCTAAGACTTTAACTTACAAAACGGAAAAAAGATCGACCGTGGAACCTGTCTGTAAAGGCGAAATTTGTTGAATTGTTTGCAACAATGTTGCTTTATAAAATGTGTTTGAACTTCCTGTATTTGTATTTTTATTTATTTCCCACGGTGTCAATATCCTATTAACATCACTAATTGGCCACTGTACACTTTCATTGGCTGACCAATGAGAATGGAGAATTCTATTGTATTCAGTATAGGGGAGGAGCCTCACTAATACCATATGGTATTAGTAAAACTGTGTAAAATAAGTTGGTTATACCATAGCTAGATCAAAGGGAAAGTGACACGTCTATGCGACAAGGAAATTAGAAGCACGGATTTAGTTCTAATCTAATTCCGTGTTAGAAGGGAGGGATGGTGGGTTTTAATAGAGTTGAGATGTCCAGCTGGATAGGGGAAATTACTTCATCAAACAAAATTATCCCAAAGGAGGCTGCTACAGTGAATCTACAAGTGAGGAAGGGGCCGCCTCTGTGTCCAGACCCCAGTAGTGCGCGCCGCGCTGATTGGTACAGAAGGGAGAAATGCGTGACGCTGATTGGTCAAGCAGATTACTCACACAAAGGTCACATGTAGATCACGCATCCACTAGCCCCTAAGGGTCCAGGCATAGTATATATGACAATGACAAGTTTTTATTCTCGCAAACTTGTTACAGTGTACAGAATTATATACATATATATATAGTACAGTTTACATATAAATCATGGTGTTAATGGACATTGTTAATTCGCTCAATTATGTGCTTAAGGAATTTCATAAGTGAAATTAATTCTTCATTATTGACATAATTAAATAATGTAATAAACTTGAAAGTACTAGGACTTTCAGAATAATATCTCGACATAAATTTTCTTCTGTTTTGCATTATCTGGTGGTCATTAAAATTAAACAAATAATGATATTCGTCTCCAAAAGAAAATCACCCTTAGTTCACGTGATAGTTT